TTTACGTAATCTTGGATGGAATCCAATACCTCTCTCTACTGTCTATACTTAGGATTCATACGATAATCAATAAAGCTGCTACTGACTGTGTCGCAGCCCCTCTACCTCATGTGGATTTGTGATATAATTTAACGCAGCTTTCCTAAAGGTATTACTCTGAGTTCCCTGCCAGGCAATTGCTTTGGCACCACAGCTGTCTTAGACGTGGGAAACAACAGTGCTTGTTAACACAGCACAAAATTAGAATATGCACAATATAGCATGAAGGGGGAGTGAAAGAAAAAAGAAGATGGTAGATTTTTAACATACGGTGGGGATTTTTTCTATCCATGTTACAGCTGGTTACCCTGAGCTGGGTTGCCTGGAAACTATCACGGATATCATAGAGTACAAGATATAGGGTGTGTCCTGTACAGAGTGCCAGTCCATTATAGGGTGTCCACACACTACAGGCTTTTCAGAGATTCTAATTACTCTGACTGTATTCTCGGACTGCAGTAGGCAGCCAGAGAACCCAGAGTACCTACACTGAACATGGGAACAACACGCAGCTCCACTGGAGACAAGGTCCAAAGCTCCAAATCTGGAGGTCTGAGGCTAAGGTGCTACTCGCTGAGCTCTTTTTGAGAAACGTGAGCCGTGTAAACTATATGTGAGCAAATGCACTCTGCAGTTTAACTGCACGCTTTCCTCATTGTTGTGATGAAAAATTTGGTTTTATCGTTATATTATTTATGAATCGTAATTGGTATTGCGGGGAGAATAGTGGCCAAATATCAATATGATGGATTTTAGGGTCAAATGAAAACTGGTAATTGTCACTTTGCAAAATAGGTTTGCAAAAAGTGTGGTTGCTGTGATTAATTACTCCGCATAATTCCCTCCCTAAGCCCCAAACTCACGCCACCGATTACATATAAATTGCACACAACAATATAAAAGTGATAATGTATTCTTATCATGTTTAAAAGATGACATTGTTCAGATGATTCAACAGGACATGTGCTGTAATTGAATCTGGCAATTGATATGATGCCTTTCTGATGCTTTGATGAAGTTGAATGAGATTCTAATTATTTTCCATTCTGCTATCTGCATTTGAAAAAGTCATTGTCTACATGACAAGCTGGAAAGTGTTCAGGGCACACATAAAGCATTTCATGGACTCTTCTGAGGATTCCCAAGAGAATAACCCAAAGCTGTTCTCATGAATGCAGGTCCTATAGATTCCCAGTAGGTGTGTGAAACCTCATGAGGGGTGTAATTAATGTATGCAGGACATACAGGTAAAATAACGTGTGTCCTCTTTGAGAAGAGAAGTGTAATTCCTACAATGGAGGTCAGCATGCACTCTCATCCAGAGAATAACAAAGGGAACGCTCTTCCTTGTTCTTCTACTGAGAGTTAAAGTAGAGAAAGTATGTATAATAACTGAAAAAAAAACACAGAAAACACTAGAAAGACTCTTACCAGACTGTCTATTATATTATGCATATTGTGGATAGAAGACTACACAATTTATTTTAATGTCATTGGAATATTGTTGAGTTGCTGAAACAAAACCATTGTGCCCAATGGTATTTGTGAAGTGAACACAGGAAGTTTGCAACAAAGCTGCATCCATCTTCTAATCGTTTATTCTGATGTGGTTCTTGGACATTTTTCCAGGCAGCACACAGCACGAACTGGGGTACAATATGAATGGGATGGGAGTCCATCACTGGCCACACAGATCACATGCTATGGGAAATTCGAAGACACTGATTCACCTGACCATATGTCTTGGGACTGTAGGAGAAAACCAGCACCCAGTACCCTGAGTATGTAGAGTAAGTCCATGTTATACAGGGAGATGATGCGTTCTGCATACATACCTGGGAGGGGATTCAAACTCCCAGACCAGGAGGTGTAAGGTAGCAATGTTACGCAAAAAACCACCTTACCACCATGTTTAGAGAAGCTTTGTAATCAAATTTAAAGGTCAATTATACTTGCATGTCAAAAATACTTTACCATTTTCTGACCTTTCTACATGATGTACCCAGTTTATCCATTAAAAAAAACCCCTCTGAAAATGTCAAGATTTAGTCATGGGGGTGGAGAAATGCTTTGTTTTCTTTTTTGTACATTTACAATTCTGCAGGGAAAAAAAATATAAAGTTTTGCCGTTATTGGTACGTCATACATGTCATATATGGTCATTCTGGTAGCTCTTCTGTCCTCTTCTGTACATTTCATTTAGGCGTAAAATGAACATGCGGACAACATCAGCCTGTGTGCCATACTGAGCTGCTGAAACTTTAACTAATTAACATTAATGAAGCTTGTATGGTCCCCAACAGCTGACAAGAAATTAGCTGGGAAAGGTAAACTAATATTTAATTATATTCTCTGATTGAGTATAAATTCCAAATTCTTACATTGTGAGCTTCTGGAACATTTGACAAGATGCTGGAACACTTTGCTGCACAGCAGCAGTTAATTTTACCTTTGTCCCTTTATCATTTGCTTCTGCAATAAAACTAGAATGGGGATTTAATGTAGTGTCCAGTGGTCTCACCATGTCAAGCTGTGAGCAAAATCTAGCTCCCAGTTTTCATTTAGTTTTATGGACAGCAAGCAGATCACTATGCATTTGCTTAAGGAATTCTCATAGTCAACATCAGTGTCCGGAGACATACTGTACATATGTTTGTATCCTTGGTCTGTTGCACCTCGTCATGATCTTTGTCGTCTACAAATCAATGAGCTGATGTCTAGGAAGAGGTTGTGTAGGGAAAAGGATAACATGCAGTAGACAGGCAACACCAGGAATATCTGTTTCCTTAATGAAATAATGAGCACATTGATCACTATCACTTGTGACACAAATGCAATGATAAACTATGGAAAAAATAATAGAGGCAAGCATAGTATTTATAAAAAAAATACTTTTTGTGACATAGTTTGGAAGGCCATACTCTGCAGGAGAAAAAATGCTATTACATAAAAGCAGAATTAAAAAAACAAAACAAAATTTAAAAATATATATATTCTCCCTAATGAATGAACTGAAAAATTAGCAAAAAATGGCGTTCGTTTAATTATATTGATTTGGACAGATGTATCAGCATAACACATTTTAATGCAGATGCAGTTCATTACTTGGCAGAGAAATAATCATATAACCTTCTTGGCTTAGAAATTTATTACCTCTACATGTATTTCTTGCTTATGTCGACAGCCACAGGTTACTAGGTATTGAATATTTCCTCACCCAAAGTATTAGCTATCAGATGATAGTTAAAATGTGTTTCCTAAAACTGGCATGACTGCAGAATGAAGGGCCATTACTATTTTAATCTCAGCTCCCAATTTACTCCTTTTATTACTACATTCACTCTCAGTTATTTTACTTAGGCATTGTATAATATCTGCTTGACTGGTGCATGAATCCAGAAATGTGGTCATTTGTTTGCAGATACTGAGTAAAGCAGAAACATTGAATTTTACCTGACATTAAACTATGGTTTGAATGGTGTGATTTATTACGGTTTAGCAGAATTTTGCATTTAGTATCTCATTGCTCGCAGTGTGTTCCATTTGTATTTTCTCCTTTACGGCATTCCAGTAAGCCTGCCTACAATGTGATGTGAAAAATGACTTGTTGAATGGCTAAATTTCGCTGAGAAGGGTTTTGAGAAGCCAGGTCGTTCGATGTGCATAATTTGACAACTGGAAGCTTTGGAAGACGTTGCATTAATCACCACAAATTATCTTTGCACCAGTGCCTGTTTACTGTGAGTCACTGCATGAATTCACCTTATAAATATACATATTACAAATGTAGAATGTTTGTAAGTGGACTGTTTACCTGATAGATTACTCAAGACAGACTGTCACTCACAGCTGGCTTTCCTCCCTCCCATTTCTCAATGGATGGATGCCCTAACCTATTGGTTTGCTTCATCATCAACGGCTCCCCTGGGTGCTTTACCCTTACGCTTGGCTTTTCTGGGTAATATCTATGAACCACGATTGCCCTTGTTTCTTGTCTTCATGAATAAAAGAGTTGTTTTGGTGTTTTTCTTTTCAGAATTCTATTATTTTCCCCATCTATTGGAACCTTCACAGATACCTGTTGTCTTCCAGAAGACCTATTCTCCTCAGCCTCCGGCGCTAATTACACAAGTTCTTAGGTCAGACGTGCAGAACAGTTTAGATTCATATCAGATAGATTAGGGGATCCCAACCTTTTGATCACTGGGGGGTGGGGACCACTGAAATAGATAGTCACATGGAGGGGTGTTGTTGAGCCTAGAGGCTTTAGCCCCCCCCCAAAAAAGGTGTTTTTTCTAAGCCCCCAAATAAATGTGCACTTATTCGCTTAAGTCACGAATAGCTTTTTATATTATATATATTTGCCATTGCTTCCCCTAAGTAAAGACTCAGCCTCCCCAATCCATTAGTCTCTAACTACGTCCCTGGTCACATGCATCATTCGAATATTCATTTCATAACTACAGTACAATGTGTTGCCTGGATTACTTTAGTCGATTTAACTTAAATTAATATATTTTCAGTTTTCAAAATGCATAATTTTGGCACACATGAAACAGTTTAATATTTCTTAATCTTCCTGAAAATAGTTTAATTACATAAAAAACTATGTTACTAATTTTTTCACCGAGTAACCCCCACATATGTAGTTATTGGGTAGGTGTATGGAAAGATAGACGGATGGATGAATGAGGGATAGCTGAATGAGGGGTGGCTGGTTTTATGTTTTCTCACCCTCAAAGGTTGGTGGACTGCAACTGTTGTCAGCCATTAGTTTAATTGTGGGGAATTCAACAAAAATAATAGTTATTAGTCGCCCATAATTAACAGCACAATGGCAGCTTTGACACCGCTGAGCCACGCCGAAAGGACAGTCCCCCTCTCTCACTCCCTTTTCTGTTTTCCCCTGTCTCCCTCGCTTGCGCTCTCTTCCGGGCGCAGTTTCGACAGCTTGGCTTAGATTCAGCTCCACCCCTATGTGGCGGCTCACTTGATCAGATCCTTGAACGTGAACCGTTTAGCTGAGAAGCACTTTTGCTGGAGCCCGGAGAACACAGGGATACGGCGAGGAGGTCTCTACTTCGCAGGAGTTGCTCTTTTCCGCTTAGTCTTATAGAAACGGTGTTTTTACAAAAGAGCTCATTTTCCAGACTGCATCGATGATGGGAACTAAGGCTGCCTTACATCTTGCTCTATGTATCTGGCTTCTAATCTCGGCTCATATTATAATGACCGCTGATGCTGCGATTACTTGCGCGTCTTGTCAATTGGCAATTCACCTAAACCGGGAAGAATTACTGCGGGAAAAACGAATGAATGAAGGAGAGACGGGATTTGCACTTAAAGAGCAATTCGGCGAGGAATTCCCACGAACGAGATATTTTGCTGATAAAAGAGAGGTACTTTATAGATCAGACGAATTCGGGGTGCCTGACCATGTAAAGAAATGGTCTGCGGATGCGGGAGATGGAGTTTCAGAACTATTCCCGCATAATCCGTCTCAGGCAAGTGAAAAAGTAAGACTTGACGGCGATAAAAGCGACACGGGGGGGAAGCAATTAGGGGAGAAGAGTTCGGCGTTTCTGCGGCCGAAGCGGAGCGAAGCAGAAGTAGGTGAATTTTCCCAAAGTGTGAGAAGCGGCGACGCTTTAATGGATGGAGCGCAAGACAGGAAAGCAGCTGGCCCGATGTTCGAGGGACACAGGCAGGGCAGGTCCGAGTTCACCTGGGCCGGGGATGATGGTAAAGTGATAAATCCTCGACAAGATGAGCCCAAAGTTACCAGCACCACCTTTGCATTGACGGGGGATTCCGCGCACAACCAGGCTATGGTGCACTGGTCTGGACACAACAGCAGCGTAAGTTATTATTTATTACACATAATACACCAGGATCCTTGTATCATGTCACGCAACACTCGGCATTCATCTGAAATCCAGGGTATAGAGATGAAATTATTGATTTTTTTCCCGCCACGCACAGTAACAGGTGCACAGATCTCATCGTGTTTCATATTACAGTCCCAACAGCATTATGGTTTTGGAAAAACTGCTGTCGATTCTAATTCGTCCTATAAGTCCACAAGAAAAACTGTGTCGGTTGCTTTTTTTTTTATATCTGTGGTTGATGCAGTAATATGAGCAGCTTGCTGCAGATCTCCAGGGTCACGCTAGACGGCTGCATTTAAAAAAATGTTTCAAATAGCCTAATTGTTCATAAGTTTAATAAGTTAAACATGACGTTTGTCTTTTAAACATAATTAAACCTATGGAGCGTATTGATTATTATAAATCGGCATTGTTATAACTAAATCATGGTTATTGATTACCATGATTTAGAATTTTTGTTGCAACCAATTTAATTGATTGGAAAGGGAAACATATTTTCAAATGGCACTTCTGGCACCTAGCCACAAATAAAAGCGAAATTCTGCAGGATTACCACGTGCTCTTGATTTGTTGTTCACGATATATATTGTATATATAAACACTGAGGAAGTCAAAGCAGATGCGAAGTGTGACTGTTATTCTAACTTACATGAATAGATTTTGTTCTATATTAAATACATTAAGATATGTTATTGTGAAACCGAATCTGGCTAAGGCACAATAAAAATCTCAACGCTAAAAGTCATTATGTTTCACATTATTTGTCGTGCCTTCATAGTATGTGGTTTCCGCAACACATAGCAAAAAAGAAAAAAAACTAAAATAAAAATGTATGTGCATATGTTAAACATATTTTATAATAGTAAGTTAACGTTGACTTTATATTTATTTCTGAAATTTTTGAATAGTGCACATTTCTTTTTAAGCGTATAATTCTTGATCAATCAGTATTTCACAGAGAAACATGTGCAACACGGAAAACAAAATTAGGAAGCCGAAAAGACCCCCCTTAAAAACAACCAACTGAGAGTAGCCTTGCACTTACAAGATTAGTCCAAAAGGTGGAGTACAGTGCTTTAAAGTATTTTCAAATTAACTCTGCAGTTTCCCATTTCTGAAACACGCATTTATATGATATTGTGTGTTGCGAAATGGAAAGTTAAATTCGACGAAAATGGATCTAAAACATTTGACAAACATACAGAAGCATTTCGGATGTACAGGGACGAACAAACCCTTTATTATAGCCAAAGTATAAATGCCAGCAGCGCAGTGATCCAGAGGTTTTGCAGGTGTAATTTAATTTTGTTTCATTTTTTGAAGAGGAACAGTAGCCTGCCACTGGTTTTCCTGTTCTGTAATCTGACTCAGAAATAATTATGTAAAGAAATTTTTCTTTACATAATCTGGGGAAAGGAATGGGAATACCTTAGATTTCATACTTTATCATTTAATAATACAGTCATTTTTTTGTATTATACCTTTAAATAATTCTTAAATGATGGCAATTTTGTTGTGGAATTCAATGTAAAATTCACAGCCACTAAGCGTCACATCGATATTGCTGTTCATAAAGTCGGAATCTTTAGAATTACAGCAATTCATTTGGTTACAAGCACACACACACACACAAAAAAATGAAACAATTCTGCAATTGTATGTGATGTAGCTTTGCGTCCAGCAGCATCCTGTATGCCTGCCCAGTACTCCCCCAGTTACGTTAGGCCGAAAGGTGGAAGCTAAGGAATGTAAATGAAATTTGTAATACATAACCAAAGGCCTAATTGCCAACTGCACGGCCTAGAAGACAAATGACATTCTCCGACTAAACAAGCTGTTTTTTAAGAACAGGAAGGGAACAGCAACATCTGGCAAAGCATCCTGTGTGTTTATGTTAATTGCAAAGTTTTAATGCACATTGCACAAACATTGGTTCAATTTTACCAATTAGCAAGCAGTTAGTACTACTTATATATGCTTATTTACAAATGTACATACTTGCGTACTTGACTTTCTGCCGGCTGATGGCTTGACAAATAGCCACTTTTTATTAGTGGCACGTTTAGTGTCTGTTTTACCAAACCATGCTTTTTGGAAGTATTAAATGGCTGTAATATATTGGAATATTTATTGTGGCTGCATATGATGCAGCAACATCTCAATTGTGTCAGTCTTTAAGCTCCTAGGCAGATTAACCAATTTAGAGACAAAGCTCTTGAATTGAGAGGCTTTGATCAAACGTTTTGCTAAGTCGCTTGGTAGGTACAACTGACTGTGTTTATTATCTGAGGATGATATGCTAGCTGTCTTATTATACAATGTTTAGTACTTCTTAAGGATGTGTAATGGCTGTGTATCTTGTTATGGACTCGCATTTCATGCCACTGTTGGAAGGTTTACTTACACAAAAATGTTCTGAGTGCAGAATGAAAAATGATTGGTTCAGAGAGATAACCAATCAGGTTGTAGAGGATCTGGGTCCAAGAAACTACAAGAGGTGGAACGAAGACATCTAATTGGTTGGTCCCGCCTTTTGTAGTTATCTGGATCCATCTCCTCTACAATCTGATTGGCTATCTCTGAACCAATCATTTTTCATTCTGCCCTCAGAACATTGTTGCATAAGTAAAACTCCCATGAGCTAGCTCTCCTGCCTTATATCTGATGCTTCCTGAGTAGGCGCCCGGCCCGCCTCTATCTTATATTAGAGAAACGTTTGTAGAAGATGGATGGGGAGATTAAGTTTTTAAGAATTACATTACAGATTACCCATCCATCTCTCCATCCATCCACCTTCTAACTTCTTCTTCTGCTCAGGGTTGTGGGCATACCTGGAGCTTATCACATTCAGCACAGGGCACATGGCTAGGGGACACTTTGGATGAGATGCATTTACGGCTAATCAATCTCAATTAAAATGGCAAAGGTATTGATGAGAAGCAGATGTGTTCCGTGTGGAACTGGGTTAAACTGCACAAGATGGAGATCTTATTTACAGAGAAAGCAGGTCATTGAGATGGATACTGAACCACATACATGTTCATTTACATATAAGTTGTGTAACACAACATTCAGATATATTCTAAGATTAAATAGGAAGCTTGTGGAACATGTATCATCTATATTTACCTATCCTTGGTATCAGCTACAACATCCAGTTAGCAAGATGAAACATCCATCCATCCATCCATCCATCCATTACCTAGGCAAGCATCACTGTCAGTGCCCCATGTCCAAAGCACAATGAAACTGGCGTGCTAAGTTGGCGTTCCCTCAGAATATTGTATCCTAGGCAGCCGCCTATATTACCCAGTGGGTTGATCAGCGCTGCATCGTCTTATAATCGCTTATCATGGCCATGGTCACCAGACAAGCTAAAGAAACATCATATACACCTGTCAATCGGTAGAGGTTATGGCATTTATTTTCAGTTATTTAAAAATCTGCTTAATGCTAAGATGATCTCCTCACTCTTCTTTAATTGCATGCACTTCAGCCCTCCTGTTGGAGAACTGTTCAGCTAAAGCAATTACTGTATCCCAGTTAATCACTCAGTTGTCACCGCGCTGTTTTTCAGTTTTGCGAAAGAGTGCATCATCACTGAAAGCTACTTATTGACATACAAAGGAAGAAATATATAGACACCCTTACAAACGTGTAGTATAGTTTGTCTTTCAGTAGGTGGTGTTTGTAATAAAAGGGGTTCCCTGTTCAAAATAATAAATAATGTTGTATGTGGGAAAACAAAAATAAACGGTGAACGGTGAGAACACTGAGTTAAAGATGTTCCCAGAAAAAGTACTGTAACAAACAAAGGGAAAGTTCATCACTTTTAAAATTGTAAATAAACAGTTATATTCAGCTATTTAGCCTCTTCTCATTCACTAATTGACAGTGATCTGTACAAACTTGTCTTTGGGTGAATATTACTTTTTCCTACTTTAGCTTAATCTGACTTTCAAAACACTGTATGAGACGTATCATGCTGTGCTTTGCATATAGTTAGAGATGTTTCGTAAAATCATTTGTGCTGCCACAGTAAGTTTAGCTCCTGTAGTGCAGTGGCATTTGCTGCATTTTCAATCTTCCATCTTCTACAGCTTTTAAATAAAGATTAGTGTATTTTGAATGGTTCCCTGCTGCAGAGTGCAGGTTCCCCTCAGGGGGCAGCATTAAATGCCAGAGGAGTCTCCACATGTAAAAAGCTTCTGTCAGATGTTTTGCATGTTACATTTTACTGTTGGGACTGTTGCTATGAGGAGCTTGTGAACTTCAGGACAAATATTTGTTTCAAATATCAAATTTTAATGAATCTGTCTGAACATTAAGAAGTTTGCACGCAGTTTGCTAAGGTTGTCTCTATAAGCCTTGATCTTACACTATATAGACAATAGTATTGGGACACCCCTCTCAATCGTTGAATTGAGGTGGTTCATTCAGACCCATTGCCACAGTGTATAAAATCAATCACCTAGCCATGCAGTCAGGTTTACAAACATTTGTGAAAGAATTGGTCGTTCTGAAGACCTCAGTGAATTCAAGAATGGTGCTGTCATAGGATGCCACCTTTGCAATAAGTCAGTTTGTGAAGTTCCTTTCCTGCTAGATATTCCATGGTCAACTGTAAGTGGTATTATTTTTTTAAAAAAAAGTGTTTAGCGACAACAGAAACTCAGCCACAAAGTAGCAGATAACATAAAGTGGCAGAGCAGGGTCACCAAGTGCTGAGGTCCATAGCGCATAAACTTTGCCAACGCTCGGTTGACTCAATAACTGCAGGGTTTCAAACCCCAGCACAAAAACTGTGCACCAGGAGCTTCATGGAATTGGCTTCCATGGCCGAGCAGCTACATGCAAGCCTCACACCACCAAGTGAATGCCAAGTGTTGGATGGAATGGTGTAAAGCACACTGCCACTGAACTCTGAAGCAGAGGAAACAAAGGGATAATGGTATGCGGTTGTTTTTCAG